TGATGCTGGGTGGGAAGGAATGAGTGTTTGGTAGTTCTCAGGAGCTGTTTGGCTTGAGCAAACATTATTTCCTCTGACATTGTCTAAGTTCTTTTTGTATTCAGAGAATTGTTTGGTGTCTTCTGAATCTTCTTCAGCTTACTCAAGCTGTGTAGAGAGCAGAAAATGTACACCTTTTTATTAACTATTAGTTGTTTTTAGTATTTCACAGTCAGATACTGTTGTCCTTACAAGCAGGGTGAATTTAGTATTAGTCCAGCTAGCTCGGTTATTTTGAGTAAGTTTTGAAGAACCTCAATTCCATTGTATGGCCGATGGTCTTTTTCAGGCCTGAATTATTGGAGCAACTGTGGAAAGCCAGAGCTGAAAAGAAAAAGCTACGCAAGACATTAAGAGAATTTGAAGAGGAGTTTTATCAGCAGAATGGAAGGTTGGTTCAGCCCAAAAGCAGATGCTGGACAGCAGCTTCACTTCTATAGCCAAATGTTTCTTTAGCTTTTTGTGAATTTTGCCAAGTGAAATACATCTGATCTTTACTGCAGACAATCTCTTGACGGAGATAACGTTGTGTGCTTGTAGTAGTGGAGGAAACCTGCTGTGTAGTTTTGTTTCATCTGTTACTGTTTATAACGATGAAAACGAAAGTAGTATCAAAGAGTTTTTCCAGGGTGCATCACCTCATAAACAAAAATAACGTGTTAAGAAAAAGGCAATCACTTTCTGGACTCATTTCAACGCACTTCTTATTGTTTTCTCATTTAACTAAAAACTCATGCATAATTAGTCATACATTAGTCATGGCTTTGTCAAATGTTTGCTGAATTTGAGATGTAACTCCTTTTGACTTTAATGGCCAGGGATGAAGTTAATAATGAATGGTTGGCTTAAAAATAAATCTTACTTATATAAGACTGATTTGAGACCAGTTCTCTGCTATCAATTTGTGTGTCAGTCTACATAGTGTGAAAGCTTAGATTCATTTAAATTGACTTGCATTTCTGTTTGATGTATAAACAGAACCTGAAATGAAAGCCTTCATATCCTGTTAATAAAAGCTCCAGAACTTAAGAGAGTGGTTTTTTACCTGTGCTGGGTAAATGCTCCTGGACTGTCAGTCTGGCTTTTTGGTGATGGCATTTTTAACTACAGGGACCTAAAATATGATGGTCTCTTGCTGATGAACCATTTGGCAGACCTTTCTCTTTCTCTCCTAAGATAACTGTGCATTTCTGCTCGTGTGTTTGATTTCCTGCATCGTGGAGGATTTCCCTGAAACTTACCTGTGTTTCTTTTCACAGGAATGTACAGAAAGAAGATCGGGTTCCAATGCTTGATGAGTACAGGGAGTACAAGAAGATCAAAGCCAAACTTAGGCTGTTAGAAGTCCTTATCAGCAAACAAGATTCTTCAAAATCCATTTAACTTAGGTTCCTCCAAACCACTGAACAAGGTTTTGCTCACACTACCCTGTACTTACTGAGTGCTTGTGTTCGTATCTCACGCGCTGTTGAAAGAATACAGTTTGCACTTTGTTGTGGTGCCACTCTGAGTTGCTTGAAGGGTAAGTGGGTTCTGCCTAGAGAGCAAATGAGATCTGTACGCTTGAGACTGCGCTATCCAACTTGAGCAAACACAGTTTCCATCCATTTATTTTGTATTGGATGCATCCACCTTCTAAAACAACCATAGCATTTTGTTCTTTGGCATTTGAGAACTCTGAGCCTTTTATTACCAAACTTTTGCATTATAGAAGAAATTATTTATACTGTAATGCTATACTGAAGTACTCCTGTTGCCTATTTTATTGTAGGGGGGGCAGAAAAAGCAAATTAAAAATACATCTCTCTTTTCCTGGAAGGTTTAAAAGCCAACCTGCAATCCCTTCCAAAGAACTGCTGTGGAACAAGTTCAATTTCTAGTAATCTAAATTGCATCTATAACCATAATAATTAACATCTATGGATTCTGCTTGTTAGTGGTCACATTTCCATCTGGATAGAGATGACAGTGGACAAAGGAGAAAGTGACCTTACTTAGTGTCTTTTAAAACTTGGGAAGCTGAGAAGTTATATCACGTGCTGCCTACAGGACTTACATTACTGTCATAAGTCTTATTGGTTCTTGTTGATCAGCTCGTGGTGGCGTAGTGTTTTGTCTGAATTGGATACTGCATCTCCTCTTTCAGCAGATTTGAGGAACTTAATGCACGTTACAGTGTATGAGAAACGTGATGTTGCTCAGACTTGTGTAGCTCCAGCTGGAAAGTGCTGGCTTAGGTCAGTTAAAAAGCCTCAGTACCTGAAATACATACGCTATCAAGGGCTAAAATCAGCGTGTTGATGTGCACCACAGGGTGAGCTGACAGCTTTGAGTGAAGAAATTACTGCTGTTTATCACGGTTTTGTTTTACAGTTGGAGAATAAATATCTAATCTTTACGATATAAGCAAAACAGTTTATGGGCCTTGCATGATTTAGCTTCAGAGTTGAAACTCAATAATGTTTTGAGTATCACATCTGCTGTGCTGAATGATGATTTAGCTAGCTTTATGCCCTGCAGCAGCCTTCAGCAGCTGGTTTTGATCTGGCAAAATCTAAGTGTTAATTTTAATTGGTGCTTTCTCAGTTTTTTTTCTTCAGTGTATCAGTTTGATCGTGGCCATGTTCTGCATGCACCTACTCTCACTGCATGTTTTTATGGCTGGCTAATGGCAACATAGCTATTATTCACACTGCTTTATGAAAGACCAAAAATGAACTTTCTCCAAGTAAAAAGTGGCGAGCATGTAACCTCATAGACTTGCTATTCTGTCATGAAACATATGAAATAGATTGAAAGTAGCATTTTAGTGCTCAGGTTTCATCTGTGTACTGTAGAATACTTCCTGTTTTGTTTTATTCTGCTTGTAGACATGTGATTTTGGAATTGAGAAGAAAAGCACTAAAACTATTGAGCACTGGTGGTATGCCTTTTTTTGTAATGGCAAAATGATGTGGGACCGTAGGGAATTGTGAGGTTCAACTAATCCTGAGACCATGTATCAATTTGATTCAGTTTCACTGTGCAATGTACACTTCAGTTCCTTTTCTATCAGTCTGCAGACACGGGTGTATCCAACATTGAAACTAATGTTACTGTATAGCGTTGTACATGAATGTTTGTGTTTTATATACCACATGCAGAATGTCAATATGCACTATTTAAATGTTTTAAATAATATATTCCTCCTTTATAATGCTTAAATCTATATGATTCCAATATTTTTATAAGTGAGTGAGTGACCAGACTGATTCCAATTCAGAATTAACAGCTGCTTTGTGTTTGTTATGCGGTGTTTGGCTGTTTATTCAGTATAGTAGATAAGCATGGCAACAGTTATGCTATGAGTGTGTTTTGTGCCATCCTTGTTGAGCAATAAATAAATGGTAGAATTAGGCATTTTGTGATATAACAGTTTTACTTTGGTAAAAGCAAAACCTATATATCTATATGGATATATAGATATGGAATATATATATAACTAAACCAGATGTAATTGCATTGCTATGTCTGGTGCTCATTGTATAGACTTTTATAATAAAAATACCTTAACCTTTATTGTCATATATCTTTGCTCCTCGTCATGCTTTTTTCCCCCTCTACCACCTCTTGAAAACAAGTGCTGAGTCCTTCAGGATTCTGGTTTGTGTTTGTAGTGTCTGTTGCTCAGAGTCACAGCCTGCCAGCAGAGCTACTGGCTCTGGTGCTGAGACAGCCCTTAATGAAGCTGCAGCAGCTTAAGCCTCATTTTACCTCCTTAGACTGTGCCTCTCAGCAGAGACAGCAGCCAAGGGACCACGTTGGCTCCTCGTCTCACTTTGGCACGTTGCAGTGGGGGCTGCAGGTCCTGCTAAATTGCCAGTCTGGGCTGCGATGGTACAGGGGCAAACTGTGAGTCCTGATCGTTTCTGTTCCCGCAGTCGCCACTCTGGGAGGTGTCTGGGCAGAAAGCTGATTAATTCACTGCCAGTGAATACAGCTGCAGCTGATGAGCAGAATGTGGTTGTCTCTCGCCTATAATAATCTCTAAGCCTCGAAATAAGCAGCGGGCGTAGCAGTTACTGCTGTGTTTGTGGCCAGCAAACGCTGTCGTTGCACACACTTCTGGACAGGAGGATACTTCTTCTCTTGACAAATGGATTATTCATAGCATGTTGGTGATGGCATGCTCAGATGGTGTTTGGATGTGTTTTATTCTGTTTTGTTTCTTCCTGTGGCTGAATCTCTCCAAAGAACAAATATCTGTAGCTACGTATGAGTGGATTAACGGCTGCGTATGGGTAGATCGTGTCTGGCTGGAAGGTAACAGCAGGTCTCTAAGGCAATGGCTATAAATGGAATAAAAAGAGAATTTTTCCTAGGAATTCAGGTTTGGAACACAATGCCCTCTAGCGGTTCCAGGCATTCGGAACTAGGACTTTTATTTTCTGAAAGATGAACTCTGCTTTGGAGGTGGGGGCGCTGGCAGTAGTGGAAGCAATGGGTGCCTGAAAGAATGGCTGAGAAAGAAGCATTGCCATTGCTAGCAGTGTGTGAGCTAAAGAAAGTGGTCGTGGGGAGTCAGGGTTAATGAGCCACATGTTGGACTGTTACTTGATAATTAAACATTAGGTTGGGCAGCATAGCTAGAGACTGAGAGAGATGAACGTGGTTTGCTATCAGCTCTCTTGGTTACTAGAGCATCTAGCTTGTATCATGGCTCACAGCAGCTCCAAAATGAGGCAGCTGGTTAAGAAATCTGTAGGGATATCTACTCAGAAGTCTGGTGAGAGCAAGGTTGAAGAACTGTGAAACTCGCAGACCAGATTGTGAAGTTACATTAGTAACTTTAATAACAGTTCTACTGTTCATACACCAATATAAACACATAACAATTGTAAAGGTGTGGGGTTGTTCTTTCTTGACTTTGGATCTCAGCTGTATGAAGGCCATCTCTGCTACCAGATGAGCTCATCCATTTTTTACTGTGCTGTCTTGCCTGAAGCATCCTTCAGCTGTTGCATGCTTTTCATAATCCTACTGAGTTTTGCATTAGCGTTGTTTAATTCCTTCTCCAACTCAGATGTGCGTCTGAGGAGCCTATGGCAGACAAATACAGGAACAAACCCTTTTGATGGATTCCCTTAAACTTGTGTTTGTAATCTTTGCGTTTGCTCGCTTATATTGTGTCTGCTGCCAAGGGCCTTCAGTCCTGAAGTACCCTGCCCAAGCACAAGGCTTTACAGTCTGTGTCACCCTCTTGGCAGCCATGAGGAAATGTTCTAGAAGAGAGATAATATTTTAAATTCTCTTCTCACCTCAGTCCTGATTAACACCCTTAATAACTGCTCTACTAAATGTGTTTTCTTTCTCCACCTTCTTCCCTCTCCTAGGGGGGCTGTTGGCAGCTGTACAAGAACATCGGAAGTAATGTCTTAGGTTCATTGCCTTGGTGTTGCTCTCCTGTTTGTCAAGTTGTTGCTCTGTAAGAGTTTCAGCTAATTCGAGTCAGGGCTGATGTGAGCACCTGGGGATGGCAGTAAGGCTTCAGGAGCAGCTTCTGACAACACTTACCGCTGAAATTCTTCAGGGAAGACAGAGCTCTGAGAAGCAGCGACGGAGTCGGAGTGATGAAGGCTCTCTTTCCCTTTCTGTAACTTCGGTGGCTTCGGATGCCTCTAATCAGCACCAGAGGATGGGGGGGAGGGGGGAGAAAAATCACAGTGACTTAATTGGACACTGTCACTCATGCAGGGAGGGGGATGTGCCTGAGCAGGAAAAGATCTATGCAGCCTGGGGGAGAAAAAGGTTCCCATAGGAAAACGGGTTTTCCTTCTGTCTCAAAGTGATAGAATGCAAGAATACTTCTTTTCAGAAGTGAGAGACTGCAGCCACTGCGTGGAGCAGCGCTTACAGCCAGCTGGGGGGCTTTTTCTTTCTATTGTAAAATTGATACGTATCATTTCAAAGATGTTTTGGAAGTGTTTGCACCGGCTAACTGCAGATATGGATCTACCAAGAACTGCTGGAAACCTTTTTGTAAAGCAAGTTGGAAATAGTTGTTGTGCTGCAAATGCAGCCTATGACCTAACAGACTGTTCAAAAACAGGTTTATTTTCCATAATTTGTTTTAGTTTAACATTTGGGCAAATTGCCCAGCTCACAACTTCCTACTACTGCTAAGACACACTGACCACAGCCTACAGCCATCTCTGCTCTTGTATTTCATGACTTTGTCCAGAGCCCAGACAAGCTTCCATTTAACATTTGGGCCATAACTGGCAATTCTCATTTATTTACAGCTCTATCTTTTGCTATTTCTGTGATGTTAAAAATAGTATTCTGTGGAGAGAAAAGCTTTTGTAAGTAGAAGTGGGTACAACTGTGACACCTTTGGTATTAGTCAGCTTTTGAAATAGAAGCAGTTCCTAAGAATATAGGAAGAAATAAACCTTACCTTCTCATGAGCGCTGCCTCCTTTGGAAGGCTTGGAAATATCCTTTCCTTTAGTGGGTGGAAATTCCTTGCTGCTTGTTCACACAAGTGAAAAAAGACAGAAGTCCTGTGAGAATACACCTCTGCTTGGCACAGGGGCTAACAGCAAATTCTTCAGCTGGGGTTGAGATCTTACCTTTCCAGGTTCTCATCTCCTAGATCTGTATCTGGTTTTCTCAATTTGAGCTTGACAAGGGCTTTATTGTAGCTCTGGACAAAGAATGTTGAGCATGTTAACTGGCTTGTGTTTACACAGAGATACTTCCTGAGGATCTGAGTGGAGTAACAAAGCTGCCTGGTGCGATGCTTTGGCAGTCAAAAAGAAATCCCATAAGAGTTGGTCCTTACTTGGTTCCCTTGGCTCAGAGAACTCACTCTGCTACATCTTAAACTTGTCATTAAATCCTTAAAGTACTATGCAGCCAAATCCAGTAAGGGTTTTGGTCTTCCAGCATATTCATTTTCATCTTTCTGTTGACTAGGATTAGGAGAATAAGCTTGGGTGGGGGAAACTAAACTCTACTTTTCTTTTAGTGATGATATCCCCACCAGAGAGCCAAGTGTAGGCTTTTGGTGTGGGGCCCCTTTGCTCCAGTTTCACTTGGCAATGCAATATCCCTAAACTTGCATGCAGAGAAGAACTTCAGTTTGTCATCTAGGAAGAATAGCTTTGAAAGAAGTTGATGTCAGGATATATCACAAATCAGGCTGGTCTTAAATGCTGTTTTTAAAAGGGTCAAGAAAAGGTAGCTTCCTGCACCCTAGCTTGTGCTATTTGAGTCAGTAATAATTATTAGGAGCTCCAGTGGGTTTAATGGAAGGATTTCTCTGTCAAACATTTGTTAAAGTGAAACAACCACTGTTGGGTGTTCTTAAATGGTTGTGGCCTGGCTGCTTATGGCTCTCTGCTTGTGATATAGCATAGAAATTCCCCTCTAAACTTGATCTCATTGGGATAGTTACAAAAGCATTCACTTACCTGTCTGAAGAGGTCTGTGATGTGAAACTCTTGATTGGGAATCACTGCGAAGTCTGCTTTGACTTCCGAATAGGTGTCGTTTATAATCGCTAAGAACATGTTCTGTACAGGAAGGATGCAGTTAGGTATTTTTCTGGAAGCTATTTATTATGCTAGGCTTATTGTTTTGGGGACTGTTGAATGCTAAGGAATGGAACTAATGGAATTGGAAGAGCTGTGTTGGGCGCAGATATGCTTCTAATGCATCTAAATTCCCTGAGAATCTCCTGTTTTGGGAGAGGATTTGCTTATTTCCCCTGTGCAGTACTGGCTAAAAGGCCCACCTCCCTGGAGTGACAGATTTCCTGCTATGTATTGTGCCTTTTTCAAGTGGTGTTTCGGACCTTAGCAATGAAAGCACCAATCCAGCTGGTCTAGAACTTGAAACTATGGAGTCCCACCAAAGTCTTTAAACTTTCCAGCTGACAAGGCTGAAACTTTGCACTTCTCAAGAGCTTCCAAGTAAGTTTTCAGAAGTTAAAATCTCAAGAAATCAATAGTGCAGTAGAGGGAAAGGTGCAATATGCTTGTTCCATGGTGCAAAAGCCCCTTTTTGGCTCTTTACAGGAAGGCAAAGCTGTGAAATGCCTTGCCAGCTTGTGCCAAAGAATCCAAGACTGTCTTACAGCCTAGGTGTGCTGAAGGGCAGACAGGGCAAGTCGAGCATCACAGACAAAAGTGTCATCTTGGGGTAGGAAACACTGACTCGGAGCACTGCCCAACAAAAGGTAATCATTTTTTTTCTCTACTGCTTACACAGAAGAATTTTTACCTACCAGCAAGACAAAGAACACAAAGAACACAAATGAGATGTAGTAAATAGGTCCAAGGATGCTGTTTACTTCTAGGCTTTCAAAATTAAAATCTCCCAGCACAATACGAAACTGTGAGAAACTGCCAGGAAAAAAAAAAACACAAAACAACCCATAAGACTGAGGTTGACTGGTTTCCTTTAAAGTATTTTAGACGTTACTTAAAATCAGAACAAAATAGTTGGATAGATGCAGTTGATTTCAGTGACTACAGCAGTGGTGAATTAAGAGAAACCTGCATTACGCTGCAGTGGTGAAATGGACATTTAGCACACATTGGAGAGTTTAAAAGTGCAGGGGACTTGCTGAATGCTGTCCAGGAGAAAACACTTCCATGTCGAATAAATTGTTTTGTGTTTTTATAATCGTTTTCTTTTTGTTCCAGCTCTACGATCCCTTAGTTTCCATTAGTATAGAATGTAGCAGTGTAGGTCCCTCTGTCTCCCTAAAGGAGGCTTCATTACTAGGTAAGATGCATATTTTTCTGTATTGCATCTTAGGACTACCTTGCATCCAATTGGGTTCAAAACAGCTTTAGAAGAGTCATAGAGCTTTACATGGAAAAAGCTGCTTTCAAACAGTCTTGGTATTTTGAAGATATCTCTCTAAAGTCCTATGAAATGTATCTGTAGGCTAAAACACAGTGCACACTGAGTAACAGATTGCTACAAGTACAGGAACCATCACAACCTTTTTGCTTGGCGTTACTACAGCAAGTGGCTGAAAAAAAAATTAGGAAGAAACAACGGAGTCAGCATTTGGGGTTTGGACACTCTTGGCTTTGCAGGTGAATGCTTTCTTAAGAGCTGTGATTTCTGTTTCTGAACCCACTCGGCTTGTGCTTCGAACCCTTGGGTCTCTCAAGCAGCCCTTTTGGACATACAATGGCTATGACAAGCAGCTTGTAGGGCCAACAGAATTGCTTCTACATTATAAAATAGACCTAAGAGCTGGAGAACTGTACCCTCCAAATTCTGCTTATCAGAAGCTGTTTGTGCCCTCATCGATTTGGGGTTTTGCATCAAGAAGTTCAGAAAATTGCATACATGCAGTTTTGAAGAGTAGAAAAGTCATTGACTTGTGACCCGAAGACGAGGTGGCTGAACTGTGCATAGGCAAAGAAAATGGTGAAGAACATGATGGCAAATCCAATGATGTCCTTGGCGCAGCGAGATAAAGTGGATGACAACTGTGTCATGGTTTTGCTAAAACTTACGTACTTAAATATCTGCAAGAGAACAGAACGTGCTGTTACTGGGGGTGGGAGGTGGTGTCAGAATGTTGTGCATTCTCTTAACAGAGCTTCAGGAAAGTTGTCTGATCCTAATTTACACATGAAGTCTTACCTGGAATTAAGTTGCATTCCAGATGTTAACGGTCTGCATCTGTGGGGAGTGCTGGGATTGGGTGCGTTTTTAGGGAGGCGGAATATTCTGCTGGGCTTCTGTGCTAAAGTTAGGAGATCACAGACAGGCCTTTGGGTACTGCTATGTGTAATGAGCTCTGGCAGAAGGGGAGTCTTAGGCAAGGAGACCTCGAAATAGGCCAACCTCCTGCACCTGAGGATTCCTGTCAGGCAGAGCTGGTGAGGAGCTCTTTTACTCTGGCTGTGAAAACAAGGCTGAACAAAAGTCTTGTCTGATGGCAGTTGTGCTACCGAAGTGACGATGATCGGTTTGTGGGGAAGGTGATGCAGGGCAACGTGCAGCTGGGATGCAGAAAAGATGTAATGAGGAAGACTGTCCACACAACTGGCTAACAGTCAGTGTTCTCAAACAGCTTCTTCATGCAGCCTTGGCTTGGAGGTGCAGGAAGACAAACTGAAAGCTATGAAAGCTGTAAATAGCTTCACCTACTACAGCCATGTCAACTGTGTAGTTCGGGCTGTGACCTTGATAACACTGAGTCTAGGAAAAAATTGAATTTAAGGAGGCTGTTTGGCCATGGCTATTTCTCAGCTGTTCAAATGGAGACAGCTGTTCATGTGCAAATTTTTTTTTAGATGGCCTTGGTATTTATGTGACCCATGTTTATGAGAACGAGATAATTTAAAACTCTTCAGGAATCTCATAAACAAAATTCCCCATTCTAGCCCCACCTTTGCAGATCACCCATGAAAAAGCGAACATTCATAACAAGCTAAGAAGCACCATGTTTCTCAAGTACAAAAGAAAAAATAAATAGTAAGAGCTGATACCTTTATCCAAGCAAAGAAGACATTGACAGCAATCATGTTATCATAAATGACTTGCCAGAATGCAAGGAAATAGAAATCTGGATAAACGTGAGCATTAGAAAGGAGGTCTTCCATCAGCAGGGACACTTCTATCGTGCGGTAGATGTTGAAGCAAATGGCAAGGATGGATACCTGTAGGAAAGCAGAAGCCAGTGAAACTGAAGATCAGATACCTCCTCCTTTTCTGACTTGTTATTTTGCATAGCAGAGCCTGTATTGATTTTGACAGACCCTGGATTAGTTTTGAAGAACCTGAGCTTTTTAGATGTTTGGTTAAAAACGGCAGGTCAGACTTTTTTGGCCAAATTATTTCTCCTTGTACCATGGTAATGCTTGATTTGTACAACATACTGCATACAGTCCAATTTTACTGCGTTGTGTGCTAGTGCTTCCCTGCTCTGCAACTAAAACAAGGTGGATGAGAAAGACAGTAAAGAGTGGAAAGGTCACGGAGCTCCAGACCTCAACAGCAAGGCTAGAAAAGAGTTCAGGGGTGCTAAAGCGTGGTAGGGCTCTCCACTGGAGAACAGTAGGTGAATGGCTCTAACCAGAAAGAGGGGTTTGGGTGGTTTTGGCTTGACTGCTGTCTTGCCTGGTGCTAGCCTGGACTGGCAAGCACAAAAGAATTGAGGAGCAGCTCACCATTATCAGCAGCATATCCAGCCAGTTCCAGGCACTTCTGAAATATTTCATTTTCAGTCTTGTTATTTCTATTGCTTCCTGGATTATGAATGTAACGATGAAGAGGCAAAAGGCAACTTCACAAGAAGCCAAGAAGTAATCATAATAGGAGACGTATCTGAGGAGCTTCACGGAGTGTATCTGAAAGGAGGTCAGAGCACCCCCAGTGGCAGGGAACTCCACCACCAACCTGGAAAAGAGGGACGTGTTAGTCACCACCCCTTTAATTGTCAGCCCTTAATAGTCTCACATCAGTTATTACCTCGTTAATATACCTAACTTGACAACAGCTGGGGCAAATAGCAAAACTTGATGACTCCTCCATCTGCAAGAAAGGGTTATGCTTGTTCCCCTGTGAAAAGGAAGGCTGAGAACAGGAGATCTTGGGATAGCCAAGCTACAGTGTTTTGTGAAGTCTCTAAAGAAAATCTCTGCGTGGACATTCACCCTATCTGAAATCTGTCTTCCTCAGTAGCTGGCAATAGTACTAATAATACAGTCTTTGACCTTGCTGTGAAACTTATTCCTATGGCAGCAGCAATCAGCTGTACAGAGCAGACACCTGGTCTGGAGAAAAAAAAAGTTCTGGGTCTGCTCTCTGCACTAAGTGAATTTCTGTATTTCTTAATGAATTACTGTCTTCTCAGTTATTGCCTGAGAAACACAGCTGTGTATGCCTGAGGTGATCAGTTTTTCCTTGTGTCCTTGAACAAGCATCATGTCTCAGTAAACTGGATTTCACGTGTAGTAAAGGTAAGAACTCACCTGACTACACAGAAGAGGTTTATGTTAGCATTAAATGTTGAGAAGTCAATAAATACAGCTCTGGTTCCCCGAGTGATCCAACCATTCTTTCTGAGAAACGCCAGCTTCTCCATGCTCTCCTGCTTCGATCTCGGTAAGGTGAATATAAATCCTCCACTTCTGTAAAAGCCCACAGATCCCCAGTACCACGGGGAGAAAGAGGAGGCAGAAACATATTTCCATCTGTGAGAAACAGGAAAAGAAGGCAGCGAGCCCATGGGAAGCGTACTGAAGTAAGCTTTAACTTTTATTTTGTTCTTGTTACTTCTTGTGTTCTACTGCATTCACAATGGAACATTTAATCCAGGCATTTAAATAATGCATTTTCTTTACATGAGATAAGCACGAGGCACGTGACCCCAAAATATTCCCACTTCTACATCTACTCAGTATGTTCACAGAAGTGCTTATCAGTCTGGGTTCTGCCCAGTGTGGCCTAGACACCTTAAACCCTCCATATGTAAAAGGAATACCTCTGGGTTATGCAGTTCATTGTTGCTGGCATCTTTGCATATTCTTTCATTGACTTAAGTCAATGCTAAACAAAATGTTCAGAGCAGTCCTTTGGCTCTGTTTCCACTCCACTTTAGCATGATTCCAGTCTATTAACATGTGATTTAAGTTCAGGCTTCGTATAACTGAGCATTTCCCCAGAGATGTTAGTGATACAAAACTAACTAACGTGTACTTCTGCTGAAATGGGCTCACTGTTTCCGGTTCCTCCTGTCTTTCCACTAGAAATTTCCCATGCCGAATTCTTGTCTATAATATTGGCATAAAAACAAATGATGGTTTATCTCTGTGTAAACTGAAGAGAAAATGTAGTTCACTGCATGCAATTTTTACTCGAGAATACTCAAGAAATATGGTGCTGGGGATTTCGTGAGGTTTTCAAAAACAGTACTGGTTCCAGCTGAAATATTTCAATTTTGAAAATGCCTTCTAAAGATTCAAAAGATGCCACAAGAAAATCTGAAGTAGAATGACTTACTCAGATTCATTCTTCAGACCAAAGTCAGACTTGTCTTCTGCTTGGTAACTGTAGTGGGAGTAACAGCTCTTCAGGAAAGGCTGGAAGTAGGGGTAGATGGTGCAGGTGTTGTTGCGCACCTTCAGCTGGCGGATCTGGGCTACTCCTAACAGTAAATTCTCATAGAAAATGTAGCTGGTGTTTTTCAGGTCGGTCATCGTTCTGTTGTCATACCATGTGCTCCAATAGAGCCCATCCAAGAGCGGTCCCTCTGCGAACTGCATGCACACGTGAGGTTAAGGATTCAAAAGCTGTAAGTACCACAACCGCCCTGCTTTTTAACGTAAGAAACTTGACAGGGTTCCCAGCTACTTATGGCTGTGCAGTCTAAGGTAGAATACGAACTATGTTCACTACATACGGTCGTACAGATCTTTACATCTTTTTTCTTTGAGTCCATTTATTCCCTATGCAATGAAATTCCCAGAGCCATGGAACGAGATTATCATAAGACTACAACCTACATCTGTTTGGAGCTTCACTGAAAGATTACATGCAATTTTAAACAAGTGGTTACACACATAACTATTCTATGTTGTTTTAACAGGTGCTTGTTATTTTACTCTCTGAAGATCTGTTTTGACATATGTATTTCTGATTGGGTTTTTAGTTATCTCAACCTAAAAGAAGCATTTATTTTTTGAGGTGGGGGAATCCTTCCTGTATGTTTCTTCAATGCAGATAGAGCATTTCATTTCAGAAGAACGTGATCTAGAGTGCAAAACAACATGGTCCCATAGTTTGGAACCACCTGCGCACACGTTACAACTGCTTTTAGTGCATCAGCATGCACTTGTATAGTGAGGGCTCATTATTTCATGGACTAGCAGTAACAGACATGAAATGAGGGAGTACAATGCCACCAGATGAACTGATACAGCCCTGGGTGGCTGGCCTGTTGCTTCCCTTGACTGACTATTCACGTTTCATGACTGCTATTTGCACCCAGCATTTCTACCAGTGCATTTTAAGATAGTGCTCATCTTTCCTGAGCTGCAGCAACCCAGCGGGTGTTTCTGGGGAGGACCAGGAGCATGCCATGCTTCAAATTTGTGCTAGCAGCTTCTTCACCTGAGAAAGCAATCGCCCTGAAAGCCTTACTTTCCAGAAATCGGCGTGGCTCCTGATACTCCTGAAATTAATCCCGTCGCTGTCGGAGTAGGGCTGTTCCACAAAGAGATCTTCCATCACCTTGTTCAGGTAATACATGTTGGTGCTCACCATGCCGAAGGTCACTGGGAAGGAAGGACGGCAGGAGGTGAGCGCGGCTGTGCGGCCGAGGCTGCAGAACCCGCAGAGCACGGCTGCGGACTTACTGAAGCTGAGGGTTGCCAGGAACGTGATGTAGATGAGCAGCTCTACCAGGGTCGTTTTCAATTCCGCTTCTTTGCTGTAACTTACCGGGACTGTTGTAGCAACTGGCAGGGAGGAAAGAAGGGTGAAGAAACAAACAAGTGGGGGGGGGGGTAGCGGGGGGGGAGTGTGTGAAAGCGTAGCTGATTTTTGGGAACGACGGAAGCCGGACCTGGGCGCATCCCTGTCTGCACCTCAGAGCCCCCGGAGCGCCACGCTCCGTCTCTCCCGCCCTCCCGCAGCTCTGAGCTCGGCGGGCCGCGGCCGTTCACGCACCTCTGCTGCCGCGCCTCACGGCCACCGCGGGCTCCATGGCCGCCTTCGAATCGCAACGGGCGGCCCGAGCGCTGCCGGGAGGGGAGCAGCCCGCTGTATCCCGGCCGTGGCTGCCTCTTGCTCAGAGCCCTGCTCGGGGGAATCCTTCAGAGCAGGAAGGAGAGGTGGCGGCGGCCGTTAACGCGCCGTGAGGAGTTGGAACGGGGCGGCGAGACGGCTGAGGTGAGAGCGGCCGTGCGTGGGGCCGGGCGGCGGGCGAGAAAGAGGCAAACTCTGCGTTGCGTGTTTAAGATTTTATTTGCTTCTACTCAATTCTCATAAAAACACTCTACTTGGTTTTAGTAATCAGACAGCACGGAGTTCTCACCAAGAGCAGTATTAGAGAAGCAGCGCAAGCCCATCCACTTCAGCACGTAGCCCAGCAGGGCGGGGCTGGAGCTGCCCGCGCTGTGAGAGCGGGTCGGCCTGCTGCTCGGGCGCTATCCTTACGATACAATACTCAGAAAATGGTTATATGCACCAACCCACATAAATAACACCTACCATGGTAAAACGGGAACAGCAGAGTGTGCAAGAGTCACAGTAAAAATACGTAGATAGGTATTTTGCTAATTAGAACTACTACCAATGAACTGCATCTGTGTTGGCACTGTCTCTCGTTGGTGTGAGTTTTCTTCTTTGTTTCCAGTTAAAGTTCGTCGCTTTCATACAGTCCAGACTGCTCAGCCAAACGCTGAAACTCTCCTTCTGGGGAGAAGGCTTGTTTCACATCCAGCCCTCTGCCATTGAGAGCCAAATACTTGCTGAAAGTTGGTCGGACTCGTAGCTGCTTTGGGGCTGGAACTGGCTTGTTTGTATGTGCTGGAACAGAAAAAAGACCCTTTCAGTGTCTTCCCAGACCCAGGCTATAGCAACTCAATTGCTTTTTATCTGCACTGTTAAACAGCTGAGTCTTAAGAATTTAACAGGCTGGAAATGTAGGGGAAGGACTATGTTCACCCTCCTTGCTATCAGTGACAATGTAGTTTTCAGCTGGACTAACAGACAGCCTTCCAGCAGGCTGAGCTTTGTTAGGTGAACCGTCAGGGTCTGTTCTGAATGCAGCAGGTGGCAGTTCAGGTTGTGGCTGCAGCACTGTGCTGCGGTACTTACTTGCAACCTCCAGTCTGGCGTGGCACGTGGCCACCCCTGCTCCGTTGACTGCAGATACTGTGTACCACCCAGCGTCCTTCTTGTTTGCATTATGAATCAGGAGGCAAATCCTTCCAGTATTGTCATGTAACAAGCTGGAAAAAAAAAGTATTTACATGTAAGTAACTGGAGAAGGAAAATGAGAAGACATTCAAATCAGAGCCAGTTTACATGCTGAGGAGCTGAAAGAGCCCCAGAACAATTCTTACAGGACACTGTGAACTATGTGAACATCAGTGCTGCACTTTTGTTATGAACCAGTGGTAATGCACATCATGGTAGCATTATGGTGGCACCAAGGCCCTTTTGCAGCCCCCGCAGCATCAGAGCTCAACGAACACACTGCATGCTTCTGCACGGGCCTTGTAGCTACTGCTGGAATTCAGCAGCATCTTGCTGTGCCCCCAAAACAAGGCTATCATTTCTGTCTAGCACATGGGCCTGTTCATCATGAGCAGCACACCTAGCCAGCCAGCTGCTGCTTATATTAACCAGCTCACTGAAATGTGATTTAACAAATAGTGGTTATTGTTTTGTAGTACACTAACAGCCAACTTATTAGTAGGATACCTTATTCGGTCTGTATTATATTGTACCATTTCATTGTTTCTTTTCCAGTAAATCCGAGGAGTTGGGATGGCAGAGATCTGGCATTCGAGTCTGGCTGTATCTCCTTCAAAAACCTTTTTGCTTTGTGGCTTGAAGATGAAAGTTGGAGGCGTGTGATGTTCTTTTGCTAAATTAAAGAGGAAAGATAAGAAGGAGTTACTGTAAGTATTATACAATTATTATCAAGCTTTAAGATTTCAGAATGCTAAATTCAGAAGGACACTTTTCCTCCAGCATCTCTTAATCTACAGGCAATTCCCATGTGCATGAGGGTGTAGTAGATACAACCCATTGTAGGAGGAGAGTTTATATGTCCTCTGCTGTCAGCTCCAGAAGATGAGTAAATCCCAAATTCTAGAGATTCTATTACGTTGAAATGCCCCAATACAAGTGCTCTGAAGAAATATTTCATCCCAATGCAATGTGTTAAAATACTTTTAGAAAAGGTAGACTTCTTGTTGTTGTTTGAGCCAGAATGTCTGGAGATTTGTGCTTCCTAATTGTAATGCCACATACACATAGAGGAAGGCATTAGAATACTAAGATTTTCAGAATCTGGGCAAGTAGTTATCAGTGCTCTCTGTCTTACCAATTACTTCCACTTTTACTGCGAAGGATGATTCTCCTGCACGATTGACAGCCACACATTCATATGTTCCTGCATCAGATGATTTGACTGCTTCAAAAATAAATGAATGGAATCCCTTCTCTGACACTATCATTTTATGAAACTGATCTTGATGAACCATCCTTCCATTCTGATACCACATCACATCTGGGGTTGGCAGCCCACTAACCTGTGAAGGAGAGGAAAGCTGCAGAGTTGAACAGCTTTAAGATAATACAAACCCTTCAGTGCTATACAGAGTTTGAAGCGTTTAGGTGATCAAGTCATGGTCGTACTACAAAAAATTAGTCTTGCCTATTTTTGAATATTAATTGAATAATTGTAGTACTGCACAGAGAAGAGCTGTAGAGAAATGAGCTCTATCTACAAGAACAGAGGATGCTATTCCCAACCTCTGTTGTTTCCATCCTGTAAGGCTTTGATTAGGTCAGAGGTGCTTCTTGTGGTTTTGGAGGGAGGGAATTCACTTATCTAATCTCACTCCTAGTACTGTAGCAATGTTACCTATACACTTTTGATAATATAAACTGTGTCTTGCAGATGCAGGTTGCCCACGACACATTGAAGTTAAGCAGTTTGCAGCAAAGTAGCTAAAGGTCATGCTGAAGTCCGGCAAGGGAGTGAAAGTTGTGGATGTAATTAAGGAAAAACAAGCCAATTCACAATCAGATCAGCAGACAATAGCTGCAGTAAGGTTACATACGCACAAGCTCTAGGTTTGTTTTTACCCTGGGGTTGGAACAGTTGCCATGCAGTCTCAGCCCAGTCTGCTGTTCTGTTTATCTGTAATTAGTGCATTTTCTTGCCAGATTATCTGCTTCAGCAAGAGAATATTTAGAGCTGTAGGGAGGACTCATTAAAGGCATGCAGTCCTATACAGGTCTTGCTGATCATGTTTTCATGCCACTGCATTCAGTGGGAGTTCCAGTGCAGAGCACAGTTGCCTCTCTATGTGGTTTCTTGGAGCAGAGCTTTAACATTTGGTCTCTGCAGTGAGCTATAACAGGTTTTGTGTAGTGGTCCACATTTACCATTATTTAGCTCTAACCATTCTCTTATGAAATGAATCCCCCTTACATTATCTAAGGGAAAATGCAGAAACATTTACCTATCTTCTTCCTAGGGAGAACCTGGGAAAGCTGCTGTTAGTGCTCTGGCTTATTGAGCCACAAAGGCACTGCAGCTCAGAGACCTCTGCTCATGCTACATACACCACACAGCTAAGGGGAGTGAAAGTGAAAGGCTGGTATTACTTTGAAGTCAAGCCTGCAGAATCGTCCCTCCTCAATAATTACATCTTCTGGCACTTGTGTAAATCGTGGTTGGAAAAACTTTTCCTGGATTGAGTCATGTCCACGTTCATCTCCTCTGGAGGATGGTCTGCTCCTAAGAGGAAGGCAGTAACAGTTATTCATGTCAGTGTACCATAGACAGATCACTTTGAAGCACTGAGTCCCTCAAGAGGCTTAGGAATGCAGCAGTACAGACCAAGCTTGTTTTTCAACTGTAAGGCACCAGTTTTGGTCAACTGCTTATCTTGCTCAAGTTACTCAATTCAACATAGGAACATGTGAAGTCTTTAAACCTTTAGTGATATGCTTAGAATTGACTGGATTAAGACCACAGGCATCAGCCATCATCCACAAATAGATGCGTTTTAGTTGAAAGAAATGAAAATTTAGTAATTACTACTTCAGAAAAAGTGCTTTAGAAACAGAAAAAGAAAAACAATGCTAGCAATGCCTAGAAATATTTGAAATAAGTCACAGAGTCACGCAGCACTGGCTTTTATGCATTACCTTACGTGTGTTGTAGGAACCTGCAGCCTGATGTTTTCTGCATTCTGGTGCTCAGAAAGAAGAGAAAAATTCAATTAACTTAAGAGAATATAGGCTGAATGAGAAGCCATTTTGAGCAGACTGACAACTTGAAAAGTTGTTGGGTCAAGATGTAACAAAATTCACAGCAGGAGATAAGGTGCCCTTTTTTCACTCTAGACCTTTTGCCATGCCAGCAAGTCCTATTAATAGAATGGGACAGCTTCTCATCACCCTGTACAGGTGATAGGTGCTGCAGCTTCGTTTGGCACACTGGGCCTTTGGCAAGCCAATAACCTTTGTTACAGGGGAGACTGGCAGTATCTAAAATGAGAGCTCAGTACGGACTGTCCTTCCCAATAGCAGGAATAGAAGTGGAATCACTGGCAAGAATTGCATTGTGCCACTTAAATATGGTACCAGTAGCAATGAACACATGCTGAGCTGGAAAATATTTTTCTTTCTAGATCACAGCGCCAACTAAGCTTACTGACAACTCCACAATCACATGGTACCTCTACTAAAGTACCCAGACTGATTCCTGCTAGGACCTTGGATGCTTGGAACATACAAGCAGGGTTTACTACCAGTGACTCATTTTAGCTATGGAATCAGATAGAAATACTGCTTGGAAATTTCTGGAGTGTTTGCCATTACAGTGCTTGGTTCTGCACCCTGTTGCGCTCCGTTGCTGTGGAACGCTTAAGCTTGGGTTTAAACTTCAAATGTAGATGCAAAGTTCAGTTCAGGGGAAGATCACAGGCTGAAAGGGTTAGCTGGACTTGTGTTCCA